ATAAGTCAAAATTAAAAGAAACTATTTTTATTATCTGTATGAGATAGTAAAAAAAATGCAAATTATCTAATTATTTTATTACAATCATATCAATAATCATAATTATGATAAAAACTATTTTAATAACTATAATATAATGCATTTGATGTAATATACTTAGTTAATTTTAATTTATATATTTAATTGTAATTATAAAAAAAGTCAAAACTCTTTTTTTTATCATAGACTCACTCTTAAGAAGGCTATTTAAATCTGAATAATGAAAAATACAAGAAGGTATTTTTTGAGGAAAAAAAGTAAAAAAGAGAGACTTGAAACTGTGGTGCAAATTACTATGAATAAAGCATAAAGAATCATTAGAATTTTAATGATGACAGTATTTAATACAAGAACAAGTAAGATACTCAGAGGTGTCTTAGAAGTGTAAAAGTAAAAAATACAAAAATAGAGGCAAACTTATCGGATGCTATTTACAAAAAATTCAATATGGTTTCCACAAGAAGTCAGTATATCAAGTTGCATCAATTATTGGACTGAAATAATGAAATTGTTTTATTTGTAATTTGCTAGCTACTATGAACCCCAGGCTACTGTAAGCACCATGCAATCACAGAGGAGATATCATATTCAAATTTTGTTTTAATGTTAGGATTTTAAAGAAGATTGTCAATCAAGATAAGAAACAGTGTAAGTCCCAAGGGGTACTACCCTTGCATTCTTACCTAAATGTGTGGGTAGGAACCTAAATGTGTGGTCTAATATTTAATGAATAATGATGATATTTAATGAATAATGATGAAATTTAAGTTAAATTTGAAAAAAAAAAACAATACTAATATTAACATAGATGAGTATTTGACTTTATGAAAATCATGGAAATTTTTTTTTATGAAAATCCCAGAAAATTATTTTATTAAAAATTTATTGTATTAACTGAAAACAAAAACTTTCGTAAACTTTTAAAACAGAGTTTAGATTTTTTAACTTTTTACAAAAACAAATTTTTAATATTCGAAAAAGTTTGAATAAATTAATTTGAATAATTTAAATTTGAATAAATTAAAAAGTTAAAAAAAAAGAAAAAAAGTTGTTACAAAAATTGATCTCATGAAAATTTTAACTATAGAAAACATATTTGTTTAAATGCAAAAATTGTCGTTTTTAAAATTTATGTAAAAATATATAATTTTTTTTTTTCAAATCAATAACAAAAAACATTCGGAAATTTATGGAAAATTAAAGTATTTTAAAGTGAATTCCCCGAAAAAACTCATCTATGTATTAATAATAATAATAATAACATTATAAAAACTATCAAGAAAAAATACAGTTCTCACAGTTCCGGTGCATAATTTGTATTTGAAATTACTTTATTAACAATATTTGTTTGATGGAATTTGAAATAACCATTTATATCAGTTTCTTTATTATGCTGATCTTTACAAGTATTAATTTCCATGAATGATGTTGTGTTAAAAATTGTGTCATCAGATAAGTTTATGCTTGCATTTAAACCTAAAAAATATACATAAATCAGTGTTGCACCATTATATTTGATTCATATGGGCGCCCAACTAAATGTACTTAAACTAAATGTTCTATAAAACCATAAATTCTGACATTAGTAAAATCAAATATAAAACAAATGGAAATATAAAAGAAAAAAATTGTCACTTTTTGTTACACAATACCTATTACAACTGTTGCAGTAGTTAATTTTTAAGTTGTCGAGTGTTACTTATCTTAATAAAAAAGACACAAAAAAAGGGGGAAAATAACTTTCTAGAACTTTTTTAATATTAGATTAGTAAACAAAGTATACAAACATATTATGCAATTTATTAATTTGATAATTTGTTCCAGATAAGTTTGATAACTAAACTTCATGTTAATGATTGATAAAAAAAAACTTGATCACGAAACTTTTAGCCAATAATTGACTTTAAAACAGAAAGAAAGATTAACTTTAAATATTATATCATTTACAATATACTTTTAATATAACTTATTTTGAATAAAAAATACTTCTTATTAACAATTTCTTTGTTTCTTTTTTCTTTTCTTATCTTTGAATAACAATAAATTAAAAGTTGATAATATAAACTTTATTTACAGTTCACATAGTCCATAAAATATATCTTTGCAACTCATGCTTTAATTATATGTACCTAAAAAAATTTTTTTGGCATTGAAAAAAGTAAGAAATAACAGTTAGAGTAACCATCGTATTTAAGTAATTTAAAAACTGTGTAAAAACATTTAAATAATATAAAAATTGTGGAATTCAAAACATATTTAAGTAAAAAAACTGTGCAAAAAGCAATCAATTTAAGTGATATAAAATTAGAAAAAAAAATTTTCTTTTTTTTTTTAAGTAATAGGACAATATCAATGAAAATTACCAATATTTTGTAAAACAATAACAATAATAATTATTTCCAATATTGCAAAACATGGTAAAAGATTGCTGTTTTAGTAAGCATTAACCAATTTTTTTTTTAATTTTTGGTAAATTATTATTAGTTTTTTTTTTTTTTAAATTTATTATGATTTAATTCCAACAAGGCTGCAAGCAACCACTATTAAGTTGGAAGTTACTAGAAAAAAAATAATAATATTAAAAAGCAAGGAAATGGTTGACAAAAATTTGAAAGAGGCTCAAGCTTGGCAAATAGAGGGAATCCAACTATGGTTTCCATGAATGAACAATAATCCACGAAGATGTAAAGAAGACTCAGTAAAAGGGTTTCCATTCATCAATATAGGAATGTCAACACTATTATTATAGTTGTTTGCAGTAAATAACTGAGTTTTTTTAGAGTTAAAAATTCACAAGGCACTGCAATTCCCAATCTGTTACAGAAGAGAGATCAGATTCAAGATCAGCTGCCCATTCTAAGCAATCAAAAAGCAAAGACAGGAGTACGAAGTTGAGTCATCATCAAAAAGAGCCACCATAGATGTAAGGTTGTCAGGAAGATCATTACAGTAGATAAGAAACAAAACAGGACCAAGGATAGATCCTTGAGGTACCCCAGAAGTTACTGGAAATCAAATGAAGTGTTGGCCCTCAATGACTTTGATAAAGTGGTTAGAAAGAAACAATTTGATTATCTCAAAAACTTTCCCAGATACTAAAAAATAAAACAAGATTATGGAAAAGACCAGCATGCCAAACTTTGTTGACAGCTTTAAATATGTTAAGAGCAATAACCCTAGTTTCGCTGCTTCCATCTAATGTAAAATAATCTATGGAAGCATTCAATAAAAAAGATCCATCTAATGTACAATAAAATCTTTCAGTGACAGCAGTGAGCAAGTCAGCCATAGAGCGAGAGGATCAAGAATCATATTGAGTCAAATAGGATCAAGAATCATATTTGAGTCAAATAACTTACTGTCAGACGACAGTAAGTTATTTGACTCAAAATGGGATGAAATTTGTTGATCAAAGACTCAAAGACTTTGCTAACAGATAGAAGACTGATCAGATGATAGTTCGAGCGGTCAGAATGATCTCCAGAGTTTTTTTTCAAATTGGAACCATAGATGCCATTATCCAGCAGGTAGGAAAACAAGATTAAGTCAAGCACTTATTAAATAGCTTAAAGAAATTGAAGAGGGTTCCGGAGAACACTTGTCTTTTTACAAATATCATTTCATAGACATTCTTTAGGATAATTAGAAGTGCTCCTATTTATAATTTTCAGGCTCAAATTGAATATAAAAACTCAAACTGCATAAAAAGAAACTCATTATGTAGAAACTATATATTATATATAATCTCTTTAGTAAAAATCAAAATAAGTTTATAGTTTTGTACTTATTCAGTGATATAGTTGTTTATTACGTTAATTATATATTGTTTTTAAGGCAGTTTTAGTAGGTTTTAAATAAAATATACAGAACTTTAGATTTTTTCAACCCTATTTAAGTCATTATTGTTACATTGATAAAAATTTACTAAATGATATCAACCAGTTGAAACTTTTAAAAAAAATTTCTTTATTGAAACTTTTCTAGGTATTTTCTTGGTGAAGGTTTATACTTAGTTCAGTTCAAACCATGTAGTGAGCTTCTCATTAACCGCAGAAATTATTGTTCTTTTAGTGTTTTAAATTTACTGATACTTATTTGAAATTGTTACATAGTTAAATTTACAGCTATAAAGAAGAAATTGATTGGAATCACCTAAAAATTATCTGCAGTTTGCTTGTTGAGTTATTAGAAACTTGTTCTTTATTAATTTGTTTAACATTACTATATTACAGAAATTTTTAAAATTATATTTGTGACACAAGTCCAAAAATTATAATTTATAAGCTGCATAAAGACTTAGATGTTACTTTGAATAAAGTGTATCCATTAAGATTGTGCTATAAAATTTTCAAATGATTAGAAAATTTGTTTTCATGTGGGTCTTACTAAACTGGGGCAAAGCAGTAAATATTTAAAAATTAAAAAGCCTACATTATTAAACTTATTGTTGCCTGTGGTTGCAAGGAGGTTAAGATGCACCTTTTGTCTGGCCCAGCAAAAGCAACATGTCTCAGGAATCTATTACTTGGTATATTAACATACATGCTATATTTATTTATTATTGAATTTTTATTATATAATCATACTATGTAAAAGAAATAACAATAAACAAATCAATAATTTTAATCTTTCACATCAGCAAATAATATCAAAATATCAAAAATATCAAAAACATAAGTGAAATTGGTGAGTGGTAAAAATGAGTTGTCAGACATCTGCAACAAGCTAAAATATTATCATGTAAAACAATGTGAATTTGTGTATGTGGAATTTCAAAACTTAGTAAACTAATTTTTAGCTATAAGTAGCTTACACTATAATCTACAAATATAAAAGTTATGTAACAAAAATAAATGTTTAACATTTAACGCAAATGATATAATAACATTTTATGTAACTTACATTTGTTACATATGTTATATATTTGTTGTGTTTCAAGATATACTTGCAATGATATATTTATATATATTAAGATATATTTAGACAAATTATATTTAAAATACCTTATTTTATTTTGGGTTAAACTTCACTTTCATAATTCAGTATTAATTGTTTAATCAAAATTTTATTTTTTCAAAAGTCACCATTTGAATTCTTAATGTAGTACAAATGTTTTTTTCTTTGAATTTGAATTCTTAATCTAGAGCAAATGTTTTTTTCAAGAGAAAAACTCAGCCTAATTGTGTAATTGTTTAAAAAACGCTGGGGTAAGACATTTATTATTCAAACCAGATAATTTTACAAAGGAAAAAACTATGCAGATTGATAAAGTTAATACTAACCTCTTAACCAGAAGTATAATGGCAAAACAAAAAATGTTTTTTGTTAATATCTCAATAAATAATTTGTTTTGGTAACTTTAATAAACTCAAAAGTTATTTCATGTTTATTTACAAAATAAAAATAACTTGTTTCTCCACTTTTCTCCTAACATTTATATTTTAGGAATAATGAACAGACAAAATATACATAACAAAATTAAATTTAAACAAAATTCAACTTACTTTCATCACCACTATTAAAACCTTTACAATTTAACTTTAAGCCTGATGATAAACAGGATAAAACGCCAAATGGGTTAAGTCGCAAATTTGACTTTATCCAACTTTGAAGCTTTTTTGAATTAAAAGTTTGTGATATCTTAAATAAAAATTGAAACAAAAATTGAAATAAAGTATTAAACAACTTTTTTTTTCCTTATTCATATTATGATTAAATAAATTATTAACTTTTCTCAAGTTAATATTCCATGAAAACACATTCAATGTTAAATTTAAGCATGTACTGTTACTATGACAACATTAAAATTATTTAAAAAAATAAATAGGTTTGACCTAAATTATTTTTAAAACCATAATTTGAATAAACTAATCATTTTTAAAATATTTAGCAAAAATGAATAATACATATGATATAAAAGGTTTTACTAAATATTTTTAGATAATTAGATATTTAGCAAAAATAGTATTCTTAACTCAAAATGAACCATATGCATTATTCAAAAACCAAATTATAAAATTATATTTATTATTCAAATATTTTTTTGGCACTTATTAATTATTCACCAATAATTAGTAAGTGCCAAAAAAATGTTTAAAAATTGATCTGTAAAATACTTCTAATAAGTAAAAAAATATTCCTAATTTAATTTGGATTTTGCTTTATATAAACTGAATAGCTTTAATGCGGCTTTTAATTAAAGGAATTAAAATGATTTATTTAATTAGACAGCTATATGACAAAAATACATAAAACTCATGATTTTGAAAAAAATTACAACAAGATATGAAATAAGTTGATTAGGAGCAATGGTTTTCTTTAAGTGGAAAAAGATATGAATTAAGTTGATTAGGAACAATGGTTTTCTTTATGTGGAAAAAGATACAAATTAGCTACTTAGGTCAAAGTTTAAAAAAAAACTTTATTTTTAATTGACATCTATTGTTCTTTAGTATAAACACCTCATTGCGTTTACTACATTGTAATTTTTTTATTTATTTTTATTGTTCCAAATTCTTTATTCACTTTTTTACTGCTGTTTATTTTAAGTAAGGAAAATTAAATATATCTTTAGGTAATAATGTTTCCATAATAAATAATTTAAAATGTAATTTAAAAATATAAAAAATAACATTTCTAGATTTAAATGTCATTTTAAACATTCTTTAAAATAAGTTTAAAAAGTATACTTTTTTTTCCGAAGATAATTAAAAATGCTGTTGGCAAGCTAAATTTGCTGGTAAAGTACACCAAAAACAACATAAATAAAATATAAACAAAAACAACAACATAAAAAAAATAATAATGAAACTTTGCAATCATTCATGTTTTATTTGCATAAAATTTAAAAAGGAATATTGTATTTACAAAAATAAAATTCAAAATTTACAAATACAACTAAAAAATGCAAAATTTATAATTACAAAAATAAAAATTTGTTTTTAATTTACAAACACAAAAAAAACTACATAATAAAATGTGCTGATTAAATTACTAAAACTACTTGCGGCCGTCATGATATGAATGAATCTCCCCAAGAATGTTTTTCCATTATTGGAAAAAGAAATATAACAAAATTAAATTGAAAAATATTGACTTGTTATTTGAAAAACTTCACAAAACATCGAATGTTGAAAACTATGATCAAACATAAAAATTAGTAGTAAGCAACAGTTGTCATCAGTCTACATTAGTAGTTAGTAAAAGTCAACATCAGTTTACATTAGTAGTTAGTAAAAGTCTACATTAGCCTACATTAGTAGTTAGTAAAAGTTGTCATCAGTCTACATTAGTAGTTAGTGAAAACAATGTATAAGTTCCACCTTTCTTTAATTCTTGGAAAAAGAAAGAAAATAAAAATCAAACCAATAAAAATGCCATTCAAAAATGTAGATGATATGCAACTAAAAACAACAAAGTGGAGATGTCAGGCCTCAGTGGGAATAAATGCAGAGAAAAGCTCTCCTAAAACGAATTTGGGGAGCTGTGCGAGCTGCTCCTCATTTAAATCGGCAGTCACATTTTTAATTTTAACCTTTTTTTTTTGCAGCAACCATGCTTTTTAAAAAACATTGCAGTATATTATGCAATTATTTTTTTTTTTAATGACATAGCGTTTTTTATTTTAGTTACAATTATTATACTTTTGTGAGAAAAATTATACTTTTGCGAGAGCTGTAAATTGCACCCATAAATCATTTTAAGGGAGTGTGGGTGTGAGCTCGAACTAAGGCTCTCACTTCTTGCTGAGGCCTGAGATGTTATTTCCCATTTTTAATTAAAACAAAGTTGGTTTTGTGATATTTCCATACCATTTGCCCTGGAAAAAAAATTGAGCATTTACTGAAAAACCAGGGAAATTTGCATATCATCCTTTGGAGTGTGTAATGACCATTTAAATACGCAAAGGCATAACTTTAAAAAATAAACAAGCTTTAGATGAAATGTCTACAAAAGACTTGAATGTCTACAAAATATTGTGTGAAAGTAACCTTGCAATAGAAACATTTTAAACAAGATACTCCTGCTTTGCTGTCAAAACCTTCTTTTGAGTCACACATTTGTTTATCATAAAAAACTCACATAATTTTTTCAGACATTTTCAGACAAGTCAGCATTACAACCTTATGATGTTGGTTTTTTCACTTCATTGTAATCCCACTTGAAGAAAATCATTAGAAAATTGATTAAGAAAAAGCAGACGTAAAAATGTTTACAAGTCTGTATTTCCAACTTTACTAAAAGCTCTTGTCAGCAAGATAGATAGCAAACTCTTGAAAAGTGGTTTTAATGGTAGTGGTCAAGATGTGAATATGCAATCAAAGCATAAGGAAATAGATAAGTCTAACAAAAAAGAAAATGTGTCCAGACCAAAAAGGGCAAAACTTTAATAGTACATGATGATGCCGCAAGGTTGCAAGAAGAAGAAAAGAATAAAGCTGAAAAGAAGACTTTCAGTAGAAAAAAGAAAACTGTTAAACATAACCAATACAGTTTGACTTTTTAAATACATGAAAAACAATAAGTGTGTTATATGTATCAAATATAATATGATTTTCTGTATTACCCCACCAGTGGGGTATTTTGGATATATGAAAGGTATTGTTAAAAAAGGATTAGTAGGTTGGTTATTGAAAATATATTTATGTTCTACTCATGGTGAAGTTATTTTATACACCCTGAATGTTAATGTTTATTAACTAAAAAAGATTATAATAAAAAGTAAATATCTAAAATTCTATCCATATTACCCACCCCACCCTATCTTAAGAAATAATCAACAAGTCAATAATTTAAAAAAGCCAAGAAACACTTTCATCCCTAAAGAACTATGGAAAATGGTAATAATGAATATTTCTAAGTTAATTATTACATTTACTTTGAGTGTAGCTTGCATAAAATTTTTTTTTTAAAACTCAAAATAGTCAAAACTGTCATGGAAACATGTTGCACATCAGATAATATTGGCTAAAGAAATTTTCTTTAACCACGAAGTTTTGCTGCTTTAAACCAAACCATGGCCTGAACAATTGAGCTTCTATGTTAAGAACTGCTCGCATAAAATGCACATGGCTAACCAAGCAAGTCCCCTATTTGAAAGCTGTTATCTTATTGGTTTAAATAAATTATGTCACTTAAAGCCAACAACATTTTAAGGCACAATGCAATTTTAAAATACAATATTTACAAATTATTTAAAAATTAAACAATAAAATTTGATTAATGATAAAAACTATATTATAAATTAAGATAAACAAAAATCTAATAAAAATTAAAAACAGTTCAAGTATTTTAAAGAAAATATAAAAACTTTCTGTAATATACATTATTTATAAAGACAGTCATTGTATAAAAAGTCTTTTCCACTACATAAATGTTATAAGATGAACAAATTTTTTCTTAAATGTCAGATTTCAATGACCTTTTTAGCCTTGAAATAATGACAACTTGAAATTCCAATAATGTAAATTATTATTTACAGCCAGAAATAAATTTACTAGCTATTAATAATAATAAAATTATATAATAGCTAGTAAATTTATGCCCAAAGTACCATATTGACAAAAGCAAGAGTTAATGATTTTTCTCTAAAAACATTGACATATTTTTGACAGTACAGTACAATATACATTGATTTACCGCATGATGGAGCAACTTAATAGGCTGTTTTTGATGTTTTCCGAACAAAGATTTTTACTAAAATATGGTACTTTGTTTTGATAAAAAAAAGGAAATAGCATCTCATATGTTTCTGTTGTTTTCAATCGTATACCATCTGCATTTTTGATTGGTGTTTTGTTGGTTTGACTTTCTTTTTTTTCTTTTTCCAAGAATTGAAGAAAAGGCACTACTTATACATTGTTTTTGTATATCATATTCTACTATTAATGTAGACTAATGATGACTTTTACTAACTACTAATGTAGACTGATGATGACTTTCACTAACTACTAATGAGACTGATGATGACTTTCACTAACATTTAATGTAGACTGATGATGACTTTTACAAACTACTAATGTAGATTGATGATAACTGTTGTTTACTACTAATGTTGATGTTTGATCATAGTTTTTAACACTTGATGTTTTGTGAAGTTTCTTCAAATGACAAGACAATATTTTTTAATTTGATTTTGTTATATATTTCTTTTTAAAACAATATTTTCCATTATTGAAAGGCATTTTGTTGAGGAGATTCTTTTACCGCACAAAAAGGGCAAGTAAATTTAACTGGCAAGTTTTAATATACAGTAATTTTTGTGTTTGTTTTTTTATTTTTGTAACTGTAAAATTTGTATTTGTAAATTAAATTTTTGTATTTGTTATTAAAAAAGTTAATTTAAAAAGTATGATCAAGGAAAGCTAATATTAAATGCAAAATTATTTTATGATGTTTTATAGTTTAACTACAAGTCATAATTTTACTTTTTGTTTTTTAGCAACCAATTATAAGACATTTTTGTTTTTATAGCAACCAATTAAAAGACATCGGGATCTCCAAACCCTGACAAACAAGGCCGCTGTGCGGAAAAACAAGTTGAGCGCGGTAATACCAGGGACATGGTGGAGATCGAACTCGGAACCTCTTGCTTATGAAGCGAGCGTTTTACCACTACACCACTACCGCATATTTAATTTAAAAAGGATGTTGAAAATATAAAAGAAAAGATATTTATTGCAACAAAATTTATTTAAAATTAAATACATAAAAAGTTTGTCAGTGCAGGTCTCGTTTTAATGACTATCAATAGAAAGGCCAAACTCATTGACTTTTTATGCAAGTCAACAAGTAAATAAGAAGGCCAAACTCATTGATTTTTTATGAAAATCTACAAGTAAATAAGAAGGCCAAACTCATTGACTTTTTATGCAAATCAACAAGTAAATACAAAATTAAAAAATTGTTTTAAGTAAAGCTTTAATTTATTTAATAAACAAACCTTCACAAATCCAGACTCTTCAGCTTCTCTTGGCTGTGAAGCAATTTCCCCAATTGGAGTGTTATTACTAATCATATGTAAAAAGAAAAAAAATTTAACAATTTTAAAATACTATTAGAGAACATATAAAAAAAAAAAAAATACAATAGAGAACAAAAAAATACCTGTGCATTCAAAAGATAATTTTTTTTATTAATGTATTGCTAAAAATTTTTTATTAAAAATATTGCTAGATTAGAGTATTAAAAAAAGTTGTTTAAATATCATATGGCCTAATATCTGCTATATATATTTGTATGAGTCATCTGCGTATCTGTTGTTGTTAAAATGTGAATTTCCTTCTTAAAATATTCCAAATTTTAAAATTCTTGTTACAACTTTTTTTTTTATTTAACATTTTAATCCCTATTTAGCAACTTCACTGAAGAGCCATGAGGCAGGATGTACTGGATTACACGTTATCAGTAGCCAGGAGATCATTATGATCTGAATCTTAACCTGATCTGACTATTATCTGTTTTTCTATGGAAGCCTCCTTCAGAAATATTTTAATACATTTGGCTCATAAATAATATTGTCATTCATAGTTTTGACTATTTATAGTCTACTTGTGTTATATATATATATAACATATATATATATTATATATATAACATATATATATATATATATATATATATATATATATATATATATATATATATATATATATATATATATATATAATATTATTATTATATATATATATATGTATATATGTTATATATATGTTATATATATAACATATATATATAATATTATTATTATATATATAACTATATATATATATGTTATATATATGTTATATATATATATTTATATATATATATATATATATATATATATATATATATATATATATATATATATATATATATATATATATATATATAGAAGCTATTCTAGGAAAAAAATTGGGTGGCGGCCCCCTTACTTTCTTTTTGGCAGACCATCGGAAAATCAGCGGGTTTTTTTTGCGATATTTGCTTTAAAAACGTAAAAAAACAATAAAAAAAAAAAAAAAAAAGGTCCTCAAATTTTAATTTGGGTGGCCCCCAAATACAGTCAACGCTATATATATATATATATATATATATATATATATATATATATATATATATATATATATATATATATATATATATATATATATATATATATATATATATATATATATATATATATATATATATATTTGTTGTAAAACAGTGTATATGTAAATAGTTTGTTTTTACAATGTTAAAAATTCATAAATAAAAGCATACAGACATATAAATGTTTAAAAAAATGGTACCAAAAGATTTTTAAAATACTAAAAATACAAGGAGCAGAATAAAAAACTTAATAAAACAAAAAATATACCTTGACCCAAGTAAAAAACTCAATGAATTAACAGCTTCCAATTTCAGAAACTCATCTTTAGCATTATTTATGTCTAGAAATTTAAAAGGTTATTTTTTTAACTATTTAATATAATTCAAACATTATATGTAAAGTATTAAATTAAAATATATTATATTTTAAAATTATTATTTACATATTATATGCATAGTATACATATAATATACATATTTATCATTTTTTATGATAAACTGTAGATAGTATATGTATAAACAATATACTTTTGCTATATTTTATATATATTTATATATATATATATATATATATATATATATATATATATATATATATATATATATATATATATATGCTATATATATATATATATAAATATGCTAAATTTAAGTCTATGCTAGACTTAAATTTATAATATTTATAACTTATTTAACGATAATAATAACAACTTAATATATAAAACAAATTATACTCACAAGAGATATTTATTTTGTTAATTTTTAACCAAAAAAATATTTTACATTTAGTTAGAAACAACTTTTATCTTTTTCCACAAGTTTTTATTAAATAAAAAGCCAGACTTTCCAAAAATTTAAAACTTATTGTGTAACCCAGCATAAAGTGATAAAAACATGGACTACAAAAATATAGTACATGCAAATACATTTTTACTTGTGAAAATATGCCTTGAAAATGCCTTGTGAAAATATGCCTTGGAGGAAAATCATCAAAAAAAAGTTTACTGAGATTAAAAGTAACATTTTAAAACAACCGCGCTTAACTTAACACCTATTGTAAAAGTTGCTATTAAACTTTGAGTTAAATACAGATAAAGCACAAATTTTAATGGTTTAGATTGAGTTAACTTAACATGCAGATAGGTGACTTTTAATGCTGATTGATGTAAGGAATTCAAACCCGAACTCTTACCCTAATCCTACTTTTCTTCTATTGATGCAAATTTTCATGTAGTAACATGCTAGACTCAAGTTTGCCGATGATTATTTCTGAATGGTTTTTGGTACACAATTAGTACACAACCTTTGGTAGACTTTGATTGGGTAGATGTATCCAATAACTAACTCTATGTTGTTTTGTGAGATTTTAGAACATTTGGTATAACTAACTCTATGTTAGTTTATGAGTTTTTAGAATATTCAGTAGATTTTTATGTATTAATAGCAAACTTTGTTGTTTGTGAGTTTTAAATCATTTTGTCATTTTTTGCTTATAAAATTCTTGCAATATTTTGGAAAAAAATCTTTAGCATTCTCAATACCAAAATTTTAGGATTCAAAAAATAAGTGTTTTCCAGGTTGATTGGAAAACAAAAATATAATAATAGTGGGTAAAGTAGGTAAAAAAAATAACTTGTACTATGATTAAACACAAAAAAATGGTTATTATAAAGATAAAAAGGTAGCATAACAAAAAATAATTTAAATACTGAGAATGCACATATATATTTTTGAAAATATTTTATTAAAAAACTTGAGGCATCATTTGTTTACTCTTTTTGTTATAGTTTGGTCTTTTTGCTATGGTTTATACTTTTTGCTATGGTTTGGACTTTTTGTTATGGTATGGACAGTTATCTGGTGTGTAATTGTAACCTCATACGCTTTGTTATTTTAATATAAACCTTTGAATACAATCCTATAATAAATTTTATAATGACTAGGCAACCCTTTCTATTATCTCCAAATGAGGGTACAGCTCAAAAACTCAGTTTTATGGTTCTGAGGCCGGCTGGTAGTCAGGTTTCCCGAACTCTGTGGTAGCTCTCAAAGAGGCTGATTCCATCAACAGCTGAAAAATATCAAAGTACTAACAGTGCCATGTTGCGCATGGATGGTGTCTCTGTTTGTACTTTTGGTGTGCATTGCCAAGGCCACATTGGAGCCCTTTGTTACAGCTTAGCGTTTATTAATAGAAATGAGGCAATTGCTTGGGCTATAAAACAGTGTACTGAGTACTATCTATGTTTCGAGTTAAGTTCTTTAACAAATTTAAAAATGAATAAAGTAACAAAAACTATAAAACACAAAAAACCACAGTCATCACTAAGTTCGCTAAACCTATCATTCACTAATATTCGTGGTCTTCAAAGTAACTTTTCTTCTGTTGAATCTTATCTCTTGCAAAGTTCACCTGACCTTATTGCTCTTGGTGAGATTAATTTGAGTTCAGCTGTCTCATCTTGTGATCTTAGAGTTGATGGTTATCTTCCTTTATTTCGTAAAGACTATAATAGTGACATGCTTGGGCTGGGCATTTACATTCGAAAGAATTCACCCATTTGTCGGGAAACTAGGTTTGAATCCACAGACTACTCTTTTATGTGCTTTCGTTTAGCACCACTTCACTCTATCACCTTACTCTCTGTTCTATATCACTCTCCCTCATCTCAAGACTCTACTCTTCTTTATGTTATTTCTGATCATATTGACCAAGCCTTCTCTCTTTATCCATCAGCCAATATTGTTGTTGTCGGTGATTTCAATGTTCATTACACTGAATGACTTGGCTCAAGTGTCAGTGACTCTGCAGGCATTAAGGCCCACAACTTTTGCCTTTCTCAATCCCTAACTCAAATAGTCAACTTTCCAACTCGCTTTCCAGATAACCCAAATCATTTACCTTCTCTACTCGACTTATGTCTTGTTTCATATCCTAGTCAGTGCTCAGTTTCTCCACACTCACCCTTAGGTGCCATTGATCATGGTTTGTTCTCTCTAAAACTATTATCTCATTCTTCTTTATCATAAGAATCCCCCTATTATCATACATCTTACAACTACCTTAAAGCTGACTGGGATTCTTTCCGTGATTTTCTTCGTGATGGCCCCTGGGTAGAAATCTTTCGTCTTCCTATTGACAAATGTGCTTCTTACATAACTTTGTGGATTCAGGCTGGCATGGAGTCCTTTATTCCCTTTCGATGATTCCAGGTCAAGCCTAACTCTTCTCCATGGTTTTCCTCGCATTGTGCTGCTGCAATTGCCAATCGAAACCATTACTTCCATATCTATCATCAAATTAATTCTCCAGAAAACAGACGTCTGTTTGTTATTGCTAGAAACCATTGTAAAAAGGTTTTGTCTAACACTTTAGTGTTAGACAAAACCTTTATTCCACCCACTGTTTTCAGATCATGAAATCTCATATTTCATCACAAAAATTAGGCTCTCGTGACTTCTGGAGAATCTTTAATAGTATCAATAATAAGGGCAAGTCTGTAATTCAACCTCTTTTGTATGGTTCAGACTTTGCCACCTCACCTAAAGACAAAGCTGAATTGTTTGCTAAGAACTTTTCATCAATATCATCTCTTGACTCCACTAGTTGCGCTCTACCTGATATTGCTGTCAAACAGGTTGATCCATTGCTTGACATCCATAACACTTCAGCTTCTGTATCTAAAAAGATTTCTTGCTTAGACTCTTCTACAGCTTGCGGCCCAGACAACATACCTGTTATAGTCTTGCAGAAGTGTTCTCCGGAGCTGTTGTCTATCCTTTCAAAACTATTTAACAAGTGCTTATGAGAGTCTTGTTTTCCAGCCTGCTGGAAAGTAGCATCTGTTATCCCTATTTTTAAAAATTCTGGAGAGCGATCTGATTCATCTAACTACCGTCCCATTAGTCTTCTTCCTATCATAAGCAAGGTTTTTGAATCTTTAATTAACAAACACTTAATCTCTCATCTTGAATCTCATAACCTACTTTCTGATCATCATTATGGATTTTGATCTTCTCGTTCTACGGCTGATTTGCTAACAGTAATAACCAATAGGTTTTATCGCGCATTAGATAAAGGTGGAGAGGTTAAGGCCATCGCTCTTGACATTTCTAAAGCATTTGATAAAGTTTGGCATGCTGGTCTTCTCCATAAGCTTTCTTCTTACGGTGTATCTGGAAACATCTTTAAGATTATTGAATCCTTTTTTTCCAATCGTAGTATAAAAGTTGTCCTTGATGGACAGTACTCTTCTTCTTATTCTGTAACCTCTGGGGTTCCTCAAGGTTCAATCCTTGGCCCTATACTCTTTTTAATTTACATTAAGGATCTTCCATATATTCTCACATCTAAGGTGGCATTGTTCGCTGATGATACTACCATTTATTCTTGTCACGATAAGAAGCCAACTCCCTCTGATTGCTTGCAGGGGGCATTTGAGCTTGAAAAAGATCTCACTTCTGCTACAGCATGGGGCTCACAGTGGCTGGTGAACTTTAATTCAGATAAAACTCAATTTTTTTCAGCCAATCATTATCGCAATAATTAGACCTTCCTATATTTATGAACGATAATGTACTTGATGAGTCATCTACCCTTCATCTTCTAGGATTACCTCTCACTTCTGATCTTTCTTGGAAGCCTTATATCAAATCCGTTGCAAAATTAGCATCTGCTAAGGTTGCATTCTTTTTATCAAGCTCGAAACTTTCTTACTCTGGATTCTATTCTCTATCTCTGGATTCTATTCTCTATTCTCTATAAATCTCAAACCCGGCCTTGTATGGAATACTGTTGCCATATCTGGGGCGGATCTTCTAATGATGCCCTTTCTCTTTTAGACAAGGTGCAAAAACGCATTGTAAACATAGTTGGACCTGCTTTTGCAGCCAACCTTCAACCTCTGTGACATTGTCGAAATGTTGCTTCTATTTCTCTTTTCTACAAATACTATAATGGGCACTGCTCTAAAGAGCTAGCGTCTCTTGTGCCATCTACTAAAATTCATTCTCGTGTTACTCGTCATTCAATTAAGTCTCATCCTTTTTCTGTTACTGTTCCTAAGTGCTTCAAAAACTCTTATTCATCTAGTTTTTTTCCTCAAACATCAGTTCTCTGGAATTTGCTCCATTCATCTTGCTTTCCTGATTCATATAATTTGCAATCTTTAAAGTCATCTGTCAATCGTTATCTTGCTCTACAACCTTCATCTTTTCTCGTCCAGTAACTTCCAACACTAATTAGTGGTTGCTTGCAGCCTTGTTGGAAGCGATGTTCGATGAAGCATTAGTCTATTTTTTTTAGTAATTTGTCTAACTCTGTCTAGAGTGATTTCTAGAA